TTTAAAGGAAGGTCATCGAGTGATGCCAGGCAACACGACTCCAAGTTGATAGTGTAAAGATCTGCACCTGTACCAGACAGTCACGATGGCGATGCTTGGTTACCTGGAACCCGACATGTGCACCGCGTCCGATGGCCGAATCGTCAAGCGCTCTGTACAGCGTCCCCCACTTCTTTACGACCATTCACTTGTCAGACATTTGGCCAAAGCTTCGATAACACCCCGTACACGGTCCGGCGTTTCTTAATTTAAAAGCAGTTTACCAGTCTCACGTCTAAGCTAAGGGTTTTGCTAAAACTTCACACAAATAGCCAGCAACACATCTGAACTAGAGATTTGCCAAACTTGAAACAGTTTACTAGTCACACATCTGAACTAGAGATTTGCCAAACTTGAAACAGTTTACTAGTCACACATCTGAACTAGAGATTTGCCAAACCTGAAACAGTTTACTAGTCATACATGCGAACTAGAGATTTGCCAAACTTGAAACAGTTTACAAGTCACACATCTGAACTAGAGATTTGCCAAACTTGAAACAGTTTACTAGTCACACATCTGAACTAGAGATTTGCCAGACTTGAAACAGTTTACTAGTCATACATGCGAACTAGAGATTTGCCAAACTTGAAACAGTTTACTAGTCACGCATGCGAACTAGAGATTTATCAAACTTGAAAGAGTTTACAAGTCACACATGTGAACTAGAGATTTGCCAAACCTGAAACAGTTTACAAGTCACACATCTGAACTAGAGATTTGCCAAACTTTAAACTGTTTACTAGTCACACATGCGAACTAGAGATTTACCAAACTTGAAACAGTTTACTAGTCATACATGTGAACTAGAGATTTGCCAAACTTGAAACAGTTTACTAGTACTAGTCACACATGCGAACTAGAGATTTACCAAACTTGAAAGAGTTTACAAGTCACACATCTGAACTAGAGAGTTGCGAATCTTGAATTTCAACTTAACAACAGGCTTTGAGGATGCGCTTGACAACAAGTCCAGACAAGCCAAGTAACTTTTAGTTATTGAAGTATTGTTAACATTACAATACGGAGTGATGTTGGATATCAATTAATTAATGGTTGGTTGATAGAGTGTGTGTGTCTCGTGTAGCTGGGGGGGGGGGTCGTTCTGTGTGTCTAATGTAGCTGGGAGGCGTTCTGTGTGTCTCGTGTAGCTGGGTGGCATTCTGTTTGTCTCGTGTACCTGGGTGACGTTCTGTGTGTCTCGTGTAGCTGGATGACGTTCTGTGTGTGTCTCGTTTAGCTGGGAGGCGTTCTGTGTGTCTCGTTTAGCTGGGTGGGGGTTCTGTGTGTCTCGTTTAGCTGGGTGGCGTTTGTATGTCTCTTTTAGCTGGGTGGGGGTTCTGTGTGTCTCTTTTAGCTGGGTGGGGGTTCTGTGTGTCTCGTTTAGCCGAGTGGCGTGTCAAAAATGAGAACCCATTGAGACTCGTCGAGTTGACGGGCAATACCGTTTACACGACACATCCCTGATCCTGTTTAATTGCCAAGAAAATATTCCTGGGTGAAATATGATCACTTTGTCTTATAAATGTGTTCTACAGTACTATATGTTAAATCATCGGTGCCATCTTCTTTTGGTCACGCATGCGCAATCAAAAAGCGGAAGAACCATGTGACTTAAAAAATTAAAACAGTCATTTCATGGAGGCTTTTTTCTTTTCTTTGTTTTCTTTCTTCTGTCCCAGAGCTGCTCAAAAGCCCTTAATTAAAGCTTAGCCGTTGCAAGCAAAAATCGTGAATATCACGGCAAGGACCAGTTTTTAAATTAAAAAATAAAGATAAGTTAACATTAACATAAAGTTGTTGCTGGTATAGAGAAAAAATGTTGCTATTTACATGCATTTATTTCAATATTTTTGCGTCTTGTAATTATGGCTATTCAAAAACAATCTAAAACATTATAAGGCAATATAAAATCTAGATATATAATATATACATACATATATATATATATACTTATATATATCTGTATATATATACAAAGATACATATATATATCTGTATATATATATACAAAATAACATATATATATCTGTATATATATATATGTATATATATATATATATATATATGTGTGTGTGTGTGTGTGTGTATATATATAAGACAATCTGAAACAATTAAAGAACTTAATTACTCATTTCAAATACGTTCTCTTGAGTCTTTTTGTGTGTGCATTTTATTGCGTCATCAAAGCCGCTCGTAGAGATCAAATGATCGCCCACTCCAGGGTGTCATTAACGATTACATTAACAACACCAAATTTGCGCATAAAGAAGTTGTGATACCAGCAGAGCGTACAATAAGATCTGATTCATTTATGGTTCGGGGACTGAGCAGGTGCAACAAGCAACGTGGATTTAACGTTGGCGATCCGGTTTCAATGTTTGCAACCTGGAATCAAAGCGATGTAATCTTCAAAGGAAGATAACCAAGAATTAATTTATTATTGTATTATTTCCGTAGAGTAATAAGGGGAGAGACTGCACTCTGGTTAGTACAATATAAAATGAGTAAAACAGAGTAGGGTTAAACCTGAAAAATAAACGCAACAAAGCAGCGAACGTGTCGGCAGAAAGCCTTCGTCAGCGAACAAAACAACAGAAAAAACGGTATAAGAATAAAAATAAGAAATAGCACTTAGCTGGGAAAGTAGTATCTGTCGGCAGCAAAAGAAATGTGGAGACAAGATGAAGACAAGGTGCTCCCCTTGCTATCTTAAAAACGGAACTTTGTGATACCGGGTACGAAAAGATTTTAAACTGCAAATTTTTTTTTACACAAGAAATGCTTTCATAATAATGTGTCTTCTTTAAAATGTCATTATTTAAATTTAGTGTAAATATAAAGTGAAACCAGGGAGGGGGCTAGTTAGCTGGAATCTATTAAGAGGATAACGATGGTCCCGTTATTCTTTATCGATGACCCCCGGGTGTCAATGTTTCACAATTAATCGAAACGTTCCCAGCATTCAGTGCGGTTTTAAAGGGGTACGCCTTTCGCTCATTTTTTTTGTTTTTTTTTTGTTTAAACAGTAGAATGTCCGCTTCAGTTCGTCAATCTTCGGTGTAAATGAATACAATTTTACAGTTTAAATAATACATCTTTTTTGTTTGTTTGTTTGTTGTTGTTTTTTTGCTGTTCTTTATATTTAAATTTTATAAGATGTCAATTAGTTTATCGTCAACAAAAAACAAACATCTGAGTCAACACAAAACAAATATGTGGATATGTATTTACTAATGTAGTGATTGAGAGGAACAACATTCTCTTAGCAACATGCGTAGTAAAAAAAAATAAAAAAAGGAGGGTGGCGTTATTTTCGCGGCTTTTTCACATGGCAATTGTGGGTTATGTTGTGAGTAATAGACGGTGAAGTTAAGGATTGCACCTTGGGGTGTGTAAAAAAAAAAAAAGCAGAAAAGTTTTAGTTGCAGGTGTAGAGTTATAAAAAGATATAATTGTTATTTGTTTTTTGTGTTTTTTGTTTGTTTTTTTTGGTGTGTGCATCTTATATTAAATTTTCCATTAGTTTTGTTTTTTTCTTTTTCTTTTTTTTTTTCTTTTTTTTTTTTTTCTTTTTTTTTTTTTTTTTTTTTTTTTTTTTTTTTTTTTAAAATTTTTATATTTTTTTTTTTTTTTTTTTTTTTTTTTTTTTTTTCTTTTCTTTTTTTTTTTTTGTTTGTTTTGATTTTTGCAAACATATTTCAACTTAATTATTTGTTTTATTATCTGATCAAACAGAGCCAACCCATCAGAATTGATCTTGCTGTCGAGATACCAACGACGGCGTCGTCTATGGCGCTGCAGGCCGACTACGTCGACGTCAACCACACGGAGGCGTACAATGGGTCGGCGTTCGAGAGGTCCGTCCGGTCGCTGGCCATCATAGCTGTGAGGTAAGAGAGGTCGACGGGATCGTTCTATTCTACTTCAGCTGGCTTTCATAGATGTGGTGTGGCCAATAAGAAGTTACATATATGTCTCTGAGATGGCTTTAATAGATGTGGTGAGGCCAATAAGAAGTTATAGATTTATATATCTGAGATGGCTTTAAAAGATGTGGTTTGGCCAATAAGAAGTTATATATATCTCTTTGAGATGGCTTTTATAGATTTCTTCTTCTATATCTTAAGGGCCCACGATCAATTTATTGATCATTTTGGCTCCTATGCATGTAGATGGGATTTGCAATGTTTCTGTTACTGGTGGTGATGAGGAAATTATGCACTCGGGGTTTGAAGGCTTGAGGCAATAGACACAAATGTGTCTAGTGTTGTCGCCTCAACTGTTCCTTTTGAAAGATGGTTCCAGTCCCTGATTGTCTTGGGCAGGATTTGGCGTGGCCAATAAGAATTTCATATATATATAAATATAGGGGTGAAGTCTTTCAATCATAAGTTAAAGGGTAGGGGTGCTGTCTTTCAGTCATAATATTAACTGTGGTGGGTGGGTCACTCTATCAATCACAAAGTAAATGTGTGGGGGTGGGGAGGGGTCAGTCTTGACGTTAAAGCCGTGAGCTGAATTACATACAAAATAAATGAAATAATAAATGACTCAAATAATGACATCGTCTTAATACTGAATGGTGCATTGATTCGTCCCAAGAAATGATCCCTAACCAGTTTGGACTGTACTGATTTAGGAATGTTTTTTTTTTTTTTCTCACTCTAGCTAGTAAGACGTTTATTAATAGCACTGGGGGATTCCCCCTGTGATGTATGCTGCGGGTTCCCAGCCGGTTATCTTCGGAATGCTCCACTAGAAAATTATAAACAATGATTGTGGCACATAATGTTTCACTAGCTTCGTCTTTCCGGACGACCAGCAACCTTGCTGACCTCCAGCTTTGTAAATCTGATTATAATAGTATATCTTTCTTAAGATTTCTATTTTTTTTCAAGTTACTTTCATATTAAAACTAATGATTTCCTCTCCCCCCCCCCGCGCACATCCCCTGCCCCACCAGGTATATCCAGCCGTCAATATGTGTCTTCGGCTTCCTGGGCAACTTGCTGTCCTTCTGCGTCTTCATGACGGTCAAGATGAGGGCGGTGTCCACCAACGTGTACCTCGCGGCGCTGGCGGCCAGCAACTTCATCTTCCTGGTGTCCCTGTTCGTGTCCTGGCTGGAGCTTATCGGCATCCCCCTCATCCACATGAACGGCGTGTGTCAGATCACCGTGTACATCACCTACTGCTGCAGGTAGGTCATGAGGTCATGTCAAGGTCTTCATGTCATACAGCTAGAGCATAGGTCTATGGGTCAAATTAACCGTGTGCATCACCTACTGCTGCAGGTAGGTCATGAGGTCGCATCACTGTCTACATATCATAGTTATATCGGTAGGTCTTTAGGTCAAAATAACTGGTTTACATCACCTGCTGCTGCAGGTAGGTCATTTGGCCATATCAAGGTCTTCGCGTCATACAGCTATAGCATTGGTCTTTGGGTCAAATTAACCGTCTATACCATATTCTGCTGCAGTTAGGTCATATCACCATCAACATAACATGCTGCTGTGACATCGCACTTTAGGCTGTGCGACCTGTGTTCTTGCCGTGGTTATGTTATAGGGAGGCCTAGGGCACCCAGTGAATATTTAAACTCTCTTAGTTTATTGTAGTGAAGTGTGAAGTAACGTGCAAAAACTAATAAGTCTAAACTAATGTGCATGTTAAAATGCGTATGGTTAGCTACACGTATAGCATCATCACACTTGCTCCGTGGCCTACGTCGTAATCGGAAAAAGGAGACGAGCCATACAGGGACAGGTAAGGGGGCGCCGAACGGGTGCTTCGCAGTGGGCAAAATTTTACCTAAGGCGGGCGTGGCTATAGGTAAGTCTTGCTGTAAAAATAACCACTTATACAACATTCTTCTGGAGGGAGATTAATTACTCATTTAGACTGTTTTAATTCATATAATTATTGAACGAATTTCAAACGCAAATTATTTCTTTGCCGATGACAAAACATTGATTTCTTTCAGATTTAAACCGTTACGAATTGAAAATAGCAATAATAAAAAAATCAACATGTCTTTGTAAACATTTTTATTCTGATTTCAAAAGTTGATTTTTTTGTCGTTTCCTCTTTATGTCTTTCCAGCTTCCTCTCTACGTGGCTGGTCGTCTGCGTGACCTGGGAGAACTTCCTGATCAACTTTTCACTGGTCAAGGCCACCCGGCTGTGCACGGTGCCCAAGGCCCGCATCACCGTCCTCGGGCTCGCGGTCATCTCCGCCCTCCTGTACGACATCGCCCTGTGGACCAGCGCCCTGGTGCCGGGCGACAAAGGGCAGCTCTACTGCGGGGTGCCCAAGGAGTTCACCAACGTCCTGTACGTCCTGACTTACGTCGACACGATGGTTACGCTGGTCGTCCCGATGACCATCATGCTGGTCCTGGTCGTGCCCTCCTGCGTCAAGAACGTCGTCATGAGCCGCAAGGGGGAGAACCCGCTGCGCCCGCTGATGTCGCGGCGGCACCGGTCGCTGCTGCGTGTGTCGAGGCTGCTCTGCGTCATCACCGGAAGCTTCGTCGCGTTCACGGCGCCGAGCCACGTCCAGAAGATCGGACGGCTGATCCGGGCGATGGTGTCCAGCGAAGAGGAGGAGACGGACAGCTCGCGATTCTTCTCGATATATCAGTATTTTTACCAGACGTTCTACTACCTGAGCCTGTCTTCCAACGTCATCTACTTCCTCATCTGGGGGAAGAATTTCCGGAAAGAGATTCTGAAATTCTGCAAGAGGACGTGCACTTTTATGTTCAAAAAGAAAGCCTGATGATGTAAAGGGGGAGAGGGGGGTTGTCCTGAAACAATTTATAAGCTTCCTCAGGTTTCTCTCACTGTTTCTCATACTTTTATACACAATGTTTTTCATACTAATTCCTCATACTGTTTCTTATGCTGTTCCTCGTTATGTTTCTCATACTTTCTCATACCCATTTGTCAACTGTGTCTCATACTGTTTCAGACAATGTTTCTCATTCTGTTTCACATACTGTTTCTCATAGTGTTTCTCTCACCGATTCCTCGTACTGATTATTCATACTGTTTCGCATTCTGTTTCCCTTACTGTTTATCACACGGTTTCTTGAATCATGTGATTATTTGAAGCTTGGCTGCGACTAGACCGTGTAACTCAAGCATCACGTCATCGCAAATCATTTTGGCACACACACACAAAAAATCTTCATGCGGATATTTTATAACAGCCGCTGTTGAACAGCTTCGGAACAGATCGTCGAAAAGCCACGCGAACAGCACACGTGTCAACAGAACTCCCACTCATAATGGAAATACTGTTAGCAGCTGAAAGGTGGCCAAGTCCACATGTGAGTCATTCTGACAGGTGTTCAGTGAGCTTTTTTTTTTTGGGGGGGGGGGGGT